CCAGGGGGTCTGCACGACATTATGTCGCTTTTAAACTATCAGTGAATATTAAATTCCAGCAGAGCTTCTTTCAGTAACTAAGAAAAGGGCAACAAGAGCTTTCAGAGTAGATTTGATCTAAAACTTATACCTATAAAAACCTATTCCATTTTTAATCCACCCCTCTTTCCGGACTCTCCAATCAACACCAAGTACACCAAAATCAGAGCAGACACTCCCTTCAATGAAAGGGACTGTTTCCCTCACCGGCTGTGGTAAGCCTCCTCTCGGAATTCATAGTAAGCTCGGCCATGTTCATCCTTCTCATCCCGCTGTCTCTTTACCCCCCGCCGCTCACCATCTGAGCCTGCTGGTTTTGACTTTTCACTATCTTGGTCATCTCCTACAAAAAGGAGGGAAAGAAAATCAGCGTTTTCATACTGGAGCGTAGAATAAGCTCACAACCAACAGAAACTAAAGGGGGACCTGAGTATCTGTCTCATCAGGATAGCCAAGTTAATCCCACTGCATCCACAGGATCTTTTATTTCCAAAGATCATCTTCCTATCACTGGCTGAAATTTTATTTATTTTAAAAAGGACACTATGGGCTAATTACAGTTAAGCAGTAGATAAAAACTGGACAAGTTTTGCTTTCTAAATTTATCTGCTTAAATTAGGTCAAACTTGCAGCTTTCCCCACCAATACGACATAAAAAATCTTCACTGGTTTATTTAATTTTGACTCTTAATGGTCAGATTTGGATTTAAGCTAGACACAAAACATATTTTCCAGCACAGCACTTTTCCACAGCTTCATGATACAGAAGCCTCAATTTCCAGCTTTAAAATGCACAGCCATCCATGGGTTTACTTATATAGCAAGTGGATGCAGGTGCATGATACAGAGCTGTATTTTTATCATGGGTTTTTACTGAAAGTTGCAAGAGCAAAACCATTAATTCACAAGAGACCCATAAATAATACTACATCTTTACTGCACATAATTTGGGGACAGAAAGGTGCTATCATATATTTAGCAACATTCTTTACTAGAGGACACAACACCCAGGAGTTTTCCCTTAAGCCTTTGTAGTTTTCAGTACAAAGGCTTTTAAATAATAACTTAAGGCAGTCCTTTATTCTTTAACCTTNTGTCTCATCAGGATAGCCAAGTTAATCCCACTGCATCCACAGGATCTTTTATTTCCAAAGATCATCTTCCTATCACTGGCTGAAATTTTATTTATTTTAAAAAGGACACTATGGGCTAATTACAGTTAAGCAGTAGATAAAAACTGGACAAGTTTTGCTTTCTAAATTTATCTGCTTAAATTAGGTCAAACTTGCAGCTTTCCCCACCAATACGACATAAAAAATCTTCACTGGTTTATTTAATTTTGACTCTTAATGGTCAGATTTGGATTTAAGCTAGACACAAAACATATTTTCCAGCACAGCACTTTTCCACAGCTTCATGATACAGAAGCCTCAATTTCCAGCTTTAAAATGCACAGCCATCCATGGGTTTACTTATATAGCAAGTGGATGCAGGTGCATGATACAGAGCTGTATTTTTATCATGGGTTTTTACTGAAAGTTGCAAGAGCAAAACCATTAATTCACAAGAGACCCATAAATAATACTACATCTTTACTGCACATAATTTGGGGACAGAAAGGTGCTATCATATATTTAGCAACATTCTTTACTAGAGGACACAACACCCAGGAGTTTTCCCTTAAGCCTTTGTAGTTTTCAGTACAAAGGCTTTTAAATAATAACTTAAGGCAGTCCTTTATTCTTTAACCTTTTTCATTTTATTTTTTCCATCACCATTTATCCCCTCTATGCCCTCTTCCACCTCTCCCACCCTTACCCCCTCCCTCAACCATTTTTATCTGCTATTTGGGGTACACATTATGTCAAAGGTTATGTAATGGGATTTTTGTTCAGGGACACAGGACAAACAATCTTCAAGTTGCACGTGACTGCATTGCATGGGTTCCAATTATACCATGATACTAAGTAGCAGCCTAAACAATGTATTATAAAAAGAACCAAGGCGGTAACCCACTTCATAGTAAGACTTGGAAGCAGCTCTAGCTTTCCTCCTTACTCTGACACATAGTTAGGGATCAGCTCTAACCATCCAATTACTTCAAAGGAAGACAGGTCACTAACTCCCTGGGCCAACTTTACACTTTCTTTTCCACAAGGTTACTTGATGGACCTACCAACACCTCAATCATTTCAATTCAGTTAGGGACCTGAAACGTAAAAGGCTAGCTAAGTGTACAGCAAATTTTAAAATAAGCCCATCCATCAGCTCAGTTGGAAGACCACATTTTAATCATAACACAAGTAAGGTAAAACCCCCTAGCCAGTTAACTGACTTCTTTTAACTGCACTAGATAAGACTTCTCACTAGTTAACTATTAAACTCGACACCGTCACACCACAGGCTGTCCCCCTGCTGCTAACGCAGAAGCCAGGTTAGATGGCCAGATTCTGTGTGGCTCAAGCTATACCACGGTGCGCCTGATGGATCGAACTTTGACGAATTTAGTTTACTATAAAGCTTAATATTTTTATGGCGAAAAAGTCAACAGTCAGCCCGAAAGCCAAAACCTCCAACAGTCGGTCTAGCTGTCGTGGAATGGCCAATTCCTCAGTGCACTCCCGGTTTAGGAAAAGATAACCAGCACCGTGGGAGGCTGCTCCACAGGTAGCTCGGAAGCAGTTCGCATGCAACACTGCTCACTTTCATCCACTACCAACGAACCGAGTTAGGCAGGAACCTCCCTCCTGCAGAGTGGGGCAACCAGAGGCGGCCAAACCTCCCAGAAAGGTGCGTAGAGAATAAAAGCTACCTCCCCTGGGGAATCCCATCAAATGGCGGTGGGAATATTGCATTTTCAGGCAAGCGAGAACAAGGGATCGGACCCCGCGGTGCAAGACTGGGTGCCTGGGACAAGGGCGCACCGGGCAGGTTGGAGCCGGGCTCCGCTGCCAGCACCTCACCCTGTTCCTCTGCGGCCTTGTCACCCGGCGCCTCGGATCCCGGCGTCTCGTCCCCGCTCCGCTCCTCCGGCTCGTCTTCTTCCCCCTTGCCGGTGCCCTGCTCTTCGCCACCATTTACGCCACCTGACTCGGCCGTGGCCTCCTCAGCCGGCGTCTCGGAAGCATCGGGCTCGGCCGCGGCCTCCACGGCTGCCGCCTCCGGGGGCTCCGGTGGCGGCTGCGCGGCCTGGTCCGAGGCCTGGGCAGGGGGTGGCTCTTCATCCTCGTCCTCAAGCAGCG